GGACCGGGGACCGGCAACGGGATTGCAACCCTCGGTGTCGCTCCCGTGCCTTGCTCAGCCAGTGAGCGGGAACCGGTCTGTATGTGGGATCCGAACCCTCAGCGGGAGCGCCACCGCACTTCCCAAGCGGCGCACTATAGCAGTGTGCCACCGGGCTGGCCCCTTTAATTACAATTTTGTTTTGTCCTCAAAAACTAGATCAGGAGGGCTGGCCGGTTAGCTCAGTTTGTTCAAGCATGGTGTTGTAACACCAAGGTGAAGGGTTCGGATCCTTGTATAGGCCAGCCTCCAATAAACAAACAAAAACTAGATCACAGTCCACACTAATTTTCATGAATGTCATAAGAATTAGCCCATACTTATTATTACCTCCTGGGTTTTCTTGCAATGTCAAGGTGACACAGGCCAAATGTATTCAGGGTGTGGCATGTCCCACAGTCTGAGGTTGGTTTCATAACTTTGACAGAAAGATTGGTTCATATGAGGTGACTGCTTTGAATTGTTTTAGTTAGTTTTTTTTTTTTTAAGTTGTCATTGATTTTTAATTTGTTAATTAATTTTAATTTTTTTTTTGGGTGGTTGGCCAGTATAGGGATCTGAACCCTTGACCTTGGCATTATCAATGCTGTGCTCTAACCAACTAAGCCAATGAGCCATTTTAAAAAAATTAGCCATAAGTTTTATTTTTGTTTAGGGTTTTTTTTTTTTTTTTGGTGGCTTACCAGTATAGGGACCTGAACCCTGGACCTTGGTGTTATCAGCACCACACTATAACCAAATGAGCTAATGGGCCAGACTTTGCTTAGTTTTGATAATAGCTTTATTGAGATATAGTTCATATACCAGAAAGTTCGTCCTTCTAAAGTATACAGTTTAGTGTTTTCAGTATATTTACAAAGTTGTGCATTAATCACTACTATATAATTCCAGAACATTTTCATTATCCCAAAAAGACACATTATGCTCAGTAGTCACTGCCAATTCCCTCTCGTTCCAGTCTCTGGAGCCACTAATCTACTTTTTCTATGGATTTGCCAATTTTGGACATTTCGTATAAATGGAATTCATACAATGAGTGGCCTGGCAGCTTTCCCTTAGCCTAATGTTTTCAAGGTTCATTCATGTAGTAGCATGTATCAGTACCTCATTCCTTTTTATGACTATATTACATTGTATGGATTGTCACAGATAAAGTGGGATATTAGCTAAAGCAGTGAAAACAGATTTTATTCAGTAACTACTAACAGTAGGGGAAAGAGCTTAGATTCTTTCTGACTTGTGCAGAGGTAGCTGGGCCTTTTAAAGGGAGTGTGAGGGTATAGGGAGGGAGGGTGAGCGGGGACTCAAGTGAAAAATTTACAGAGCCTTGGTCAGTGTAAATATGATTAGGCCAGCTGTGTCTGCAGTTAGGATTCCATCCTCCCACAGAGACTGGGAGGCAGAGGTCTTTCTGATGATAACATTCCAAAGGAATGGCTTTCAGGCCTTTGAGAAGGACTCTCCTGCATTGTAGGCGATACATATACAGATCAAAGAAAGGATTCACAATAATAAGCCCTTTTTAGTAAAAGCTCTAAGAAAAGGAGGTCTGGGGCCTATGGCAGGTGTTGGCTAGAACAAACAGTAAATTCTTTTGACAGTTCTGAGCTTTTCCAGGCAGGAACTCAAAAGGGGACTGGGTTATCCCAGGGACATGGCCTTAGGCTGCAAGAAGCCATGTTAAACTTTGGCCAGATCTCTTTTTTTTTTTCCTTTTTGTCTTTTTTACTGACCGGTAACGGGATTGCAACCCTTGGTGTTGTGCCCGCACCGTGCTCAGCCAGTGAGCGGGAACCGGTCTCCACATAGGATCCGAACCCTCGGCGGGAGTGCCGCCACGCTCCCAAGTGGCACACTTCTCCAGTGCGCCACCGGGCCGGCCCTGGCCAGATCTCTTTTGAATGGAGTGTTTGTGCAAACAGTTTTCACAGTTCTCAAGATACACCATATATTAATTTTTTTTTTTTTTAAATGGTGGCTGGCTGGTATGGGGATCTCTGTACCCCTGACATTGGTGTTCTAACATCACGCTGTAATCAATCAAGCTAACTAGCCAGCCCTGACATTTTGTTTATCCGTTCATCAGTTGATGGACATGTGGGATGTTTCCACTTTTTGGCTATTACGAATAATGCATCTGTAAACATTCATGTATAGAGTTCTCTATGAACATGTTTTCAGTACTCTTGAGTGTATACCTAGGAGTGGACTTGCTGAATCATATGGAAACTCTGTTTGCTTTCTGAGGAGCTACCAAACTTTTCCAAAAAGACTGCACTATTTTACAGTTTCATCAGCAATGCATGAGCATTTCAGTTTCTCTACATCCTTATCCACATTTGTTATTGTCTGTCTTTTTTTTAATTTACATTTTAATTTTAACATTTAATTGTACATATTTGTAGGATACAGAGTGTTGTTTCAGTGCATGCATATACTGTGCCATGATTCAGTTAGAGTAGATGGCATAGTTTTGTACCTGTTAATATACTACTTCCCCTCCTGGCCTCCGGTAACCATTATTCTAGTCTCTACTTCTATGAGAACCACTTTTTTTTTTTCTTTTTAGATTCCACGTATGAGTGAAATCATTTTGGTATTTGTCTTTCTGTGCCTGGCTTAGTTCATTTAACATGATGGTCTCCAGTTCCATCCATGTTGCTGCAAGTGACAGGATTTCATTTTTTATTATAGCTGAATAGTATTCCATTGTGTATATATACCACAGTACTTTTATCCATCTGTTGATGGATATTATTTGATTCCATTTCTTGGCTATTGTAAATAGTGTTGTGATGAACATGGGAAGTGTAGGTGTCTCTTTGATGTATTGATTTTATTTCCTTCACAAATGCAACTGGGCTCTCTGGATGTTTCCTCCCTCCTAAGTGGGCCAGGGGAAGCTTGTGAGTAGCTTTGCTGGCCTGGGAGATGGGATGATGGTGTGCTCTGAAGTGATTTTTTTTTTTTTTTCTTTCTGCCAGTGGTCTTGGCACCCTTCTCCCCTGCAGCCTCCAAGTACCTTCATGCAAAGGGTGCTTCTGCAGCTTTGCCGTCTCCGGGTAGCTGCCCCATGCACTGGTGGCTGCTCTGTGCCATGCTGGCCTGGGAGCAGCTGGAGCTTGGACTGATCAGAGTGATCTCTCCTCCCACTTGCCATGGCCATCCATGCCTTCACAGACTCCAGGGTCTGTTCTCTTCTTCACCTTAGTTCCAGTGATTTTAGAATGGCAGTTTTTGTGTTTTAATAGTTGTATGTTGATCTGTTGGGGGAGAGCCACGCTGGGATGGTCTGTTCTGCCATCTTGGGGATATCACTCTCTTGTCCTTTGATTGTAGTCAAACTAGTGGTTGTGAAGTGATATCTCATTGTGGTTTTGATTTGCATTTCCTTAATGGCTAATGATTCTAAGTATGTTTCTATATATTTATTGGCCATTTTTGTATCTTTTTTTGGATAAATGTCTCTTCAAATTCTTTGCCCATTTAAAAAATTAGTTTGTCTTTTTAGTTATAAGAGCTCTTTATATGTTCTGGGTACTAGTCCCTTAATAGTTATATGATTTACAGATACTTTCTCCCATTCTGTGGGTTGTGTTTTCACTTTATTATTATTATTATTATTTTTTTTTTTGTCCTTTTTGAGACCGGCCGCACCGCGCTCAGCCAGTGAGCGCTGTGAGCGCACCGGCCATCCCCATATAGGATCTGAACCTGCGGCGGGAGCGCCGCACTCTCCCGAGTGCGCCACAGGCTCGGCCCACTTTATTATTTTTTGATTCATTGAAGCAGAGTGCTTTTTCTGTAGCCCACTTACGGGGGCAAGGAGAAGTAAATACATACATACATACAAACAAAGGTTATGTTCTTTTCTGTTGAACCTGGGTCCAAATGTTGGGACATAGAAGCCAAGATTGTGGTATTAGAAGAGCAGGAGGGATAATGATCTGAATACAGTGGTTTTATTCTCTTTAAATGCTGCTTTAAGTGTCTTCTAAATTTTTTTTTTGCTGGCCAGTATAGGGATCAAACCATAGACCTTGGTGTTATCAGTATCCCACTTTAACCAGCTGAGCTAACTGGCTAGTTTTCCTGAAAGGATTTAATGAAATTTTTGTAGTTCTGTTGTTGAGATAACACTGATCACAAAGATATGTTATTCGTGTGCAGTTTGTGATTGTAACTCTCTTTGGAACTTACAGAATATTTGATGTGTGTGATGTTTGTGTATAAAATGCCTGCCGTTGTTTACTTTTGTGGCTCAAGGGCAGTTTGAGCCCAACCTATAGTATTCCACTTGCAGCGGTTACCTAAATGTCTTTTTCTTTTTTCTCTCCTTTGTAGTTAAAAATTCAAGATGTCCATTTACGCTTTGAAGATGGTATTACCGATCCTTCCCATCCTTTTGCGTTTGGCATCTGCATTAAGAATGTGTCCATGCAAAATGCTGTGAATGAGCCTGTGAGTAGGAAATAAGATTACATGGGAAGAAAGCAGTGTCCTAGGGAATTTGCGGCTCTGTCTTCTGTCCTTTTGTGTATGTAAATGATATCGTATTCTTTTCCAGTATGCTTTGTGGTAGGTATGCATGTTTCTTGTTTGTATGCAACAAATCTAATTAGCTGAAATAGAAAAGCAGTTAATTTTCTTCAGCCTTTGGTTATATCATTTTCATTTTATACATGAAGAAACTGAGCTGCAGAAAGGATTTCATCCTTGATTATCTTTGCACACTACATGCACTTCTTGGGTAAAGTCACTCTGTGTCATAGTTTCACCTACCACCTGGGCATATTTGCTGATGGCTTTTACCTCTTGAACTCCATTCTCCACCTCTCTTCTGACCTTCATATTCATGGTTTTTTAAAACTGGTTATGGGACACCTCTATGGTATTTTACGCTTGTCTGATAAAACACACTCTGTTTCTCTATACTTCACACACTTTTGACACCAGGTGTGTGGGAGTTTTTCCCCACAAACCAAACAATTCTTTAGCAGACATCAAGTGGGTGTCCTACAGTTTAACTCAGTTCTGATGCTAACAGGCATTAGTGTAGACCCCACAGGTTAGGTAGTCCTGCAAGACTGCCCCCCACTTCAGATGCCAATCGCAAATCCCAGGTAATGACTGTGTTTCTGACTGACCAGCTATAAATCGGAGTTCCCATGACCCCCCTTCTTCAGGTTTGATAATTTGCTAGGATGGTTCACAAACTAAGGGAAACACTTTGCTTACATTTACTGGCTTAACATAAAGGATATTATAAAGGTTTATTGTGAGGGTACTTCAAAAAATTCATGAAAAGATAATATTATCTTTTAATTCTATTTTTCCATGAACTTTCTGAAGTGCTCTCATATGAAGGATATTATAAAGGATACAGTTGAACAGCCAGAAGAGGGGCATTCCACCTTCCAGTGTTTTGCAACCTGGAGGCTCATCAAATCTCATCATTGTTCAAAAGTTTTTATAGCTTCTTCTCTAGCCCACCATCCACAGGTTGCCGGGGGAGCTGAAAGTCCCAAACCTTCAATCACTTTCTGGTGACGAGCCTGATCCTGAGATTGTCTAGAGGCCTTACCCTTAGTTACCTCATTAGCATAAACTCAGGTGTGATCAAAAGGGCTCATTATGAATAACAAAAGATACTCCTGTCATTCAGGAATTTCTAAGGATTTTAGGAGCTCTGTGTCAGGAACCAGGGACAAAGACCAAATATATTTCATATTATACCACAGCTCATCATAACCAAAATGATTCCATATATTCCATCTGCCCATTTTGCCCCCCTGAAGCCAACTTTTTCCCCTAGCATGTTATTGAAACAAGTTAAAACAAGTAATAGCTTTTGAGCCCTTTTATGTGCCAGGCACTGTTCTTAGTGTTTTACATGATTTAACTCATTTAATTCTCTTTAATTTTCCCCACCACTGTTATTCAGATATTACAGCTGAGGACACTAAGGTGCAGAGAGATGAAGTGAGAAGTGGGGCTAGGTCTTGAACCTGGGTGGATCAGCTCTAGGGCAGGGGTTGACAAGCTGTGGCCTGCAGCTAAATCCAGCCCTCTCCCTTCCCATCCCTCAGCCAAATTCTGTTTCTTTTTTCTTTTTTTTAATTAACTAATTTGAAAAAAAAAAATTTATGGGTTATGCGTATTCATGGATGCAAAGCTGACCATCACCACCTGTGCCCAAGATCAAGTTCTGTTTCTAAAACCTATACCTGATTGTGGTACCTGCCTACATTAAAACCTTCAGTGGCTTTATGTCACTTAAAGTATGGTATAAACTTCCTTTCCTAGTGAATTAGTTTCCTGGGGCTGCTGTAACACATTGTCACAAACTAGATGGCTTAAAACAACAGAAATTTATTCTCTAGTTCTAGATGCCAAGGGTCTGAAATCAAGGAGTTGGCTGGGTTGGTTCCTTCTGGAGGTTCTGAGGGAGAAACTGTCCCGTTCCTCTATCCTTTCTTCTAGTGGTTTCCTGTTCTTTTGTCTTCCTTGGCTTGTAGATATGTCACTCTAATCTCTGACTCTATCTTCACATGGTCTTCTACCCTGCGTGTCATTTTTTTTTTCTTTTTTCTTTTTGTAAGGACACTACTCATTTGATTAGGGCCTATACTAATTCAGTATGACCTCATTTTAATTTGATTTCATCTGCAAAGACCTTATTTTCAAATAAGGTCGTAGTCTCAACTTTCACATGGACGTGAATTTTATAGGGAGGAGAGGACACTATTCAACCCAGTATACCTAGTAACTTTCTAAGCTACTGTTCTCAGCACTTAACTAACTCCCCACTGCAAATATGTATTCATACACATGCACCAGTACTGCTGACCACACCACATGTATAGTGTTCCAGATACACAGATGTATTCACTGACCCCTGAAGATATCAGGCTTTTTGTATTGTTGACCCAGTCCTTTCCTCCTTCCTGTCCATTTCTCTGAAACATATACATCTTTTGACACTCATTCACGTGGTGACATTTTCTTTTTCGTTTGCTCATAGCATCTTATATATTCTTCCTATTTCTCTCTGTGTAATCATTTGCTTGCATGTTTGTATCCTATTACCTAGATTTTGAACTCTGTAAGAGCAAAATCATGTTTTAATTCAGTTTTGTAACTCCAGCACCTTACAAAGTGCCTGAGGCATGATTCTTCTAAATGGTTTGTTGAATGAATGAATGCATTTATGAATAGACAGTCATCCTGTTTTCTTGCCTGTCTTTCTTTCTTCAGGTACAGAAACTAATGAGGAAAAAGCAATTGGATGTGGCAGAGTTTAGCATCTATTGGGATGTCGATTGCACTTTATTGGGGGATTTGCCTCAGGTCGAGTTACAGGTATGATTTTTGCAGAGGTTTTTATTGCCATATAATTCTTTTTTTTATTTTCCTTTTTGTCTTTTTTCGTGACCGGCAACGGATCGCAACCCTCAGTGTCGCGCCCGTACCGGACCGGGACCGGCAACGGTATCGCAACCCTCGGTGTTGCACCCGCACCTCGCTCAGCCAGTGAGCGGCCGGTCTGTATGTGGGATCCAAACCCTCGGCGGGAGCGCCGCCGCGCTCCCAAGCGGCGAACTGTAGCAGTGCGCCACCGGGCCGGCCCCTGGGTCTGAGTTTTTTCATCAAACTGTACCCCATGCAATTCTGCATTCCTGACCAGTCTCCTCTGAGTGGTCCTGTGTTGATTGGGGGGCGGACTGGCTGTCCTTGCTGTGTCCCAGTGTTCTCCTGGTGGGCCTGTCTCCCCCACTGCCCGTGCTCCCAACACTTCCCGTGAGATGGGCCCTGCGCCGGTCCCTTGTGATGACTCACCAGACTCTGAATGGCTCCCCTTTTTCAGCTGTTCTGGCTCCTCCTGCGTGGGTCCATGGGAACCCTATTAGTGGTCTTGCTGTCCTCGGGGCCACCAAGGCCCTCTTCTCCCCTGCCGCCTTGAAGTAACTCCATCTGAAGGGCACAGCCACGGCTTCTGCAGGCTCCTGCTGCATGTGCTCAGCAGCTTGAGCTTTAAAGCGGCCATGGCCTGAAAAGCTCAGAGCAGTTTTTCCTTTCTCTCATCGTGGTTTCTCCCGCCTTCATGAACTCTGTAGGGTCTCTCCTCCTCTTCCCCTTAGCTCCAGTGGCCCCAGCTTGGCTGATGTTACATTTTTTTTTTTCCTTTTTGTCTTTTTTTGTGACCGGCAACGGATCGCAACCCTCAGTGTTGCGCCCGTACCAGTCCGGGACCGGCAATGGGATCGCAACCCTCGGTGTTGCGCCCGCACCTCGCTCAGCCAGTGAGCCGCCGGTCTGTATGTGGGATCTGAACCCTCGGCGGCAGCGGCACTGTAGCAGTGCGCCACCGGGCCGGCCCCAAGCTGATGTTACATTTTTATAGTTGTAAATTGGTTGATTTGTGGGAGAGAGTGAAACTGTGGACCGTCTATTCTGCCATCTTGGCCGGAACTCAGAAGAGCTTTCTTATTATGTTTGTTAAAACATCGTGTTCGGTGGTATTCCTTTAAAAGATACTTAGAAAGTCATAAATCATCAGATATAAAGTATTACTGTTTGTGAAGGATAAAACAAAAATGTCAATTTTTTTGGTAAAGAAATTGTAGGTGGTTTAAGTTATCTTTGGCTGCATGCTATTGTATAGAATGGTTTTTGTTTTGCTGATTTGATTAAACAAATACTGCATCCATACAGTAGAACAGTATGCAGCTATAAAAAATAAAGGTAAAGGTCTTTATGATGAATATGTAATAGCCTCTAAGATATAGTATTAAGTTTAAAAAACCAAGGAAAAATAGCTTCTATAGCATTTGTGTAAAAAACCGAAATTATAGATGTGCCTGGATATGTACAGAATGCTCTGGTGGGGACATAAGTAGTTGGTATCATTGGTTGCCTCTAGGGAAGATAGGTGGGTGACTGGAAGATGAGAGTAGGAAAGAGACGCTTCACCTTTTTTTGCCTTTCAATTTTAAGCCATGTGAATGTATTACTTATTAAGAAGCATAAATAAAAATTTAAAAATACTAGAGAACTGTAGAGCCCAATTTTATACTGTTTTTGGATTCTGATGTAATATGCTGTAGATTTTATAATGTACAAACATGTAACTTGATCCTAAAAGCATTTGCTGTTATGACACAGTCTATAGCATAGCCTGACCATTTCTATCATCAAACCGTGGCATTATAAGAATGAAAGAAAGCCAGTCTGATGAGAATGGATGTTCTTCTGAACATGCAGGAGGCGATGGCCAGGAACATGGAAAGCCGCAGTCATCACTATGTCTTGGAGCCTGTGTGCGCATCTGCTCTTTTGAAGAGAAACTGCTCCAAGGAGCCTCTGAGGTCTCGGCACAGTCCCCGCATTGAATGTGATATTCAGCTGGAGACCATTCCCTTGAAACTCTCTCAGGTACACTCTCTTCCTAGTGGCTTATACTCTTACCATCAGGCTGGTGATTGGGGATGACAGGAAAATATTGATAGAAAGGTCTTGACACTTAACAGAATCCTTAGGAAAGAAAGTGTATGTGAGACTATTTGCCTCCAGAACAAAGTTGTGTTAGGTGTAAAACCCACTATCTGTTACATGGTTAAATTGGGTTGATCTCAGGTTAGTTTTGATTTGATGTTTTTAAGTGTAGCAGAGAATGCAGGAGGTGCGGTAAGTATAAATACTCAACTGTCAGTGTTCAGAGACACAAGCCACTCAATGCTGATCTTTTGGTGTTTCAGTTTGTACTGGCTTCAGTTCAGTGTATTGACTAATATGAATTGTTCTCGGTAGATGTAGGTCTTAAGTGAGTAAAGGAAACAAATCTGTTCTAACCTAGTATCTCTTAACCTCTAATGAAAAGCTGCAATACCGGCAAATCATGGAATTCCTCAAGGAGCTGGAACGAAAGGAGAGGCAGGTGAAGTTCCGAAAGTGGAAACCAAAAGTGGCAGTATCCAAGAAGTAAGGGCTTATGAGTGTTTGCATATGAAATACATTTGATAGCATGTTCTTTTTTGGTACATAGTTCAGAAACATTCCTCATTGTCCTTTACACTTGGTTGGAAATAAAAGTACGATTGATTTTTCTGGCTCTTGAAATGCCATTTCTGTTATCATTGTTGATATTCTTGTCACAGATTTAGTCTTAGATTGAGTTTAATGAAATTCAGAAGATCTCTCAATCTCATTTAGCACGTAGACTGATGTTGCTGTGATGGGATCTGGTGTGTAGTAACACTTTGCAATATTCTTTGAACCTACTTCCCTATGTCTTTTCTTCCAGGTTGTTTGGTCAACATTTACATAGTACACTTTCTAACTTCTACAGCAAACATAAATCCTCTTTTCATGTTTCAGTGATAAACATGACCAGTCCAATATATTAAAGCTTTTCAATGATCCTGTGTATTTTCATGTATTTTCTTAGAATTATTCAATTTAAAATCTTAAATTCAATTTAAAATCTACTCAAATCTTTGGTAATTATATTAAAATGGTATGTGCCTTATAGTTAGCATTTGATTTTCTGTTGATGGAAGGGAATGATATTGTGGGTAATTCAAACCAATTGAGTACTATATTATTATTGATATATAAGTTTGTGATCAATATTTGATGTTCTTAGGCAGCAGTTTTACTTTCCCCACCTATTGTGTTTAGCTTAATATTAAAATGAGCTTGAGACATAAACTGACGAGAAAAAATGTCTCAGAAGAGGAGTGGTGGTGTTATGTGGATTGTCCTGGATTGATAGCATTTTAGTTGCTTTTATTGTAAGAAGTAATTACATTGTTATGGACTATTTCAGCTGCCGAGAATGGTGGTATTTTGCTTTGAATGCTAATTTGTTTGAGATCAGAGAGCAGAGGAAATGTTGTACCTGGGACTTTTTGTTGCACCGTGCCCGTGATGCTGTATCTTACACTGACAAATATTTCAACAAGTTAAAAGGAGGCTTGCTGTCTGAAGATGACAGGGTGAGTGGACTGTTGTCTTATGTTTCTTGCCTTCATTCACAGGATAATAATGTTCTCTCAAAGGCTGAAGAAAATGGGATCTGTGAAGAAATAAAGTCCCTTGCTAAGTGGCATAATTTTACAGGATAGAGTTGGTCTTACTAGAGTGAGAACTTCTTAGAGGCCACTAGCCTTGCCTTGACCAGAGGCATCCTATACCCTTTGCTGCCTGAGGAGAGTCAGGCCATGGGGTAGGGGGAAGATGAGATGACTGTGGTCCTGCTACGCCTTTATGCCCTCACTCCTTCTTCCCCAGCTCTCTGTGCAGGGTTCAGAGAGACTTTTCCCTGCAGTCACCTAGATAGTCTCTTCAAAGCCTCATCCTAGTTCTAATTCTTCTCCTCTGAAGTCTTCAACTCATCTCTGTAGACTTTGGCGTACATTATCCATAATCCCAGTTGACTTGATTGACCCTGGATTTTTTCGGTGGTAGAGGCTAGGCAGAAGAGGGTGAAGTAGGTGTTGAAGGCAGGCTCGTGTTTAGTTAACTGTAGGGCTAGAGACCCTTAGAACCACCACTGACTTGATTGACCCTGGATTTTTTCGGTGGTAGAGGCTAGGCAGAAGAGGGTGAAGTAGGTGATGAAGGCAGGCTCGTGTTTAGTTAACTGTAGGGCTAGAGACCCTTAGAACCACCACTCCCAGAGTCCTGGCCTCGGACTCCAGCCCTTTTCTAGTCTCTCTACCTGTTATCTCCTAGAGGAAGGCAGTGCTTTACTCCTTGATGTATTTTGGTTTTGTGAGCATCAATTTTTGTAATAGCAGTTTAGACCATTTCTAATATTTTGGCTCAGGTACTGTCTCTTAACTAATCATTTCTTTAGTAGACTCTTCTGAGCAAAAAGGAATATTACTTTCTCTTTAGCACCTGCTGAGTGGTAACCAGGGGCAGTGCTGAATCCCTAGGGGTTCTCAGCTCTCCTGCCGGCACCCTGAGGCTGTGGCCCACTTGCTTCTTTAATGGCTTTTTTCATCAATGCCAGATATGGTTACTGACGTAGGAACTGTATGAAAAGGATGGAATAAACCAGACATATTGTTTTGGATGGTTTTCTTAAAGGCCCAGGCAACGACATGGAGGGAGAGAAAAATCTAAATTATAGCTGAAGAGTACAAGTAAGCTTGTGTATTCTCCCTTTTCTTAACGTTAGGACATAAGAAACAGTGTAGGAGAACTAATACTACTTTCTTTTTCATCTTGGCATGTAAGTTGGCTACTGTTGTTCTTTCCTAACTAGTATGAAACAAGGTAAAATGACCATGTCCTTGCTCATATCCTATATGAAACATAAAGGAGCTGGGACATGCACACTTCCTGTGTAAACTTGAAATTTCCTGTGTAAATTTCCTCATCCAAAGGTAGGAAGAATGAGAACTAGTGGCCTACTTTGATCATCTGAGCTGATGCCTGTGAAAGCACTTTGTAAACTGTCTCAGTGCTGTTCAAAGAGTAGGAGATTGCAGCAGTGACACATTGAAAATGAAGTACTGTTCTTTGCCTGCTCTCTATTTACTGTTAGTCCCAGGAACCATGACACTTGTTAGTCACCAAGACTAGACACTTGACACTTGTTAGAGACCAAGTAGAATCTATTGGATTATATGGAAAAGCTGTTTAAATCAGAAACAGCAATCATGGAACTTGGCCGTGCTCTCTATTTACTGTTAGTCCCAGGAACCATGACACTTGTTAGTCACCAAGACTAGACACGTGACACTTGTTAGAGACCAAGTAGAATCTATTGGATTATATGGAAAAGCTGTTTAAATCAGAAACAGCAATCATGGAACTTGGCCGTCGGTGGAAATGTTGGGGACCAGACAGGCTCCTTTGCCATACTTATAGTGGTTTGTGAGGGTGTCCAGTTTCTCTGCAGCCATAATATGCGTTCTTTTGTTTTTTTGTTTTTGTTTAACCCAAATAGGAGGAACTGTGTCGGATTGAAGAGGAACAGACCTTTGAGGAATTGAAGATTTTGCGAGAACTGGTTCATAATCGATTTTACAAACAAGAAGAGCTAGCAGAGGTAAGAAATCCTCTATGAGAAGATTAGTTCAGACCGAGCACAATCTGAGTGCTTCAGTTGTGATATGTGCTTTTGCTTCTGTGGGAGACATACAGCAGCCAGTGACATATCATATCTTCTGTCTTTGGATACTCACATATGCTCATTTGTGCTTGACGCAGAGTATACGAGAGCCTCAATTTGATTCTCCACGCGACTCTCCTGGAGACCCAGAAACCAGAGGAGGCAGTGGGATGCTGCAGTACCTTCAGTCCTGGTTTCCTGGATGGGGTGGCTGGTATGGGCAGCAGAGCCCTGAAGGGAAAGCGGTCGAGGGCTTATCAGCAGAGCAGCACGAGCAGTGGACTCCGGAAGAGATCCTGGGTACAGGGGAGCTGCCCTTCACTTTCCCCCTTGGCTGGAGTTGAAAGGAGAACTTAAAATTGGTCTGTTGTTTGTGCAACGGCCCATGGTATTTTCCAAATTTAACAAAAATAGGCATTTGGAAAAAATAGTTTGTTTCATGTTCATTGAGGCAGAGAGAAGAAATGTTTTGGGAGATACTTTATTTGCAACTCCACAAATATGAATATGAGTACAGTTTCAGATGGGTCTGAATGGCAGCAATTGTAATAGAACTAAATTTGAGTAAGTTAAAAAACTTTAAACTCTGAAACTTAAATACCAGTCCAGAGCCACTCTTCAGGCCTGTGCTGTTCAGTATGGTAGTCTTAGCCACAAGTAGATATTTATATTAATTAAAATTAAATAAAAGTAAAAATTTAATTCCTTAATTGCACTAGTCACATGTGCCACGAGTGCCCAATAGCCTCATGTGGTTAGTGGCCACTGTACTGGACAGTGTGAATATAGGCCGTTTAACTGTATTGGGCAGTGCTGCTTTGTACTGTATTTTATCATGAATCTTATCCTTCCTGGTTTGGTAATAAGTTGATAAGAGCCCTTATAAAACAGTTATGGTTGCTGTACATTAGCAAATAAAGCATAAAGCAGTCAGCTATGACTTTAGAGTTCTATTAAAAAATATCACCACAACTGTAATCAGTATGCCCGGTAGTGCTTTATTTATTCTCCTATGTTTTTTCTTTTCTATTTTCTGGTGGCTGGCTGGTACAGGGATTGAACCCTGGACCCTGGTGTTTTCCATGTTTTTTCGGCGGCTGGCCAGTATGGGGATCTGAACCCTTGACCTTGGTGTTATTGGCACCACACTCTAACCAGCTGAGCTAACCAGCCAGCCCCCCGTGTTTTTTCTTAAAGTCTTTTCTCTCTTAACCATTTAGGCACCGAGGAGTTCTTTGACCCTACTGCAGATGCCTCGTATATGAACACGTATACAAAGCGAGATCATGTCTTTGCCAAACTGAATTTACAGTTGCAGCGAGGTACAGTGACTCTGTTACACAAGGAGCAAGGAACTCCTCAAATGAATGAAAGTGCTTTCATGCAGCTCGAATTTTCAGGTACTGCCACAAAAGAACTACCTGCTGCTGTTTATCTTTCTAGGTGCCATTGTCCAATTGATTCTCATTATTTGTGGAAGTTATAGTCTAGAAAGTTGTCATGGATACTGAATTAGCTAATATGGAGCCATTTCTCCTAGGAGAAATACAGGGTTAGGTTCCTGTGAACCTCTGGTCATAACATTTGTTGATGTATGTTTGTGTTTAAAGATTCATTAACATTAAGGCCGGCCTGTGGCTCACTTGGAAGAGTGTGGTGCTGACAATACCAAGGCAAGGGTTAAGATCCCTTTACAGGTCATCTTTTAAAAAAAAAAAAAAAAAAGATTCATTAACATTGAATTTATGGCCACAGTACTATAACTCATACCCAAATGATGCTAATTTAATACATGTATTTTCTCTCTAATGCATATCACAGCCTTCTTGCACTTAGAAACACTACACAGCACTTCAGCACTATACTTGGGAACATTTTAAATAGCAAAATCACGGGCAAAAAGCACAAAATTGTGAAGAACGTGGGGTTTTTTTTGTTTCTAATTTCAAGGGAAAATAGTTCATGGTATCTAATAGTCCTCTGTAAATTATTATATCTAATACTTTTTAAAAGACTGTGGGCTATCATAGCATGGTATCAACTCTTACATTTATTTTTTTATAGATGTAAAACTTCTAGCGGAATCTCTTCCTCGAAGAAATTCCTCCTTGCTTTTAATTCGGTTGGGTGGACTGTTCCTTCGAGACCTGGCAACAGAAGGGACTATGTTTCCTCTTCTAGTCTTCCCTAATCCAGTACGTACAATCGTGGGGTGGTCAATACATCTTGGGTGTTGGTGAATTGTGGTCTGTTTTAGGCAAAAATAAGTAATATTAACCTGATTCATTCTGACATTTGATCATCTTAAGACAGATAGGCTGAGGTTTGATAAGTTTTTTGAATTTGTTAGAGAGAAAATGTTGGTGAGATTTATGGCTATGCCTTTATCTTACTAAGCTGGAAAAGATATAGTTCAAATAGTTGAGTATTTAGCCATTTACTCTGTCCATAATTTTTTTGGGAGGTAGGGGTAAGGTTGTAGAGAGGGTGGGAAGGTAGACTTAAAGTTTAAAAAGTTATACATGTTTAATATTCATGTAGCAATCATTCATTAAATGTACTGAGTGCAAAACAGTATACTGCCAATACAAAAGAAAAGACTTGGATTTACTAGATTAGGAAAAAGGCATAAAACTAAACAAGTCTGCAAGTACTTAATAATCTGATGTGAGTTTTGATTTGATTATGCTAAGGGAGAGTGATGTTAAAGGGTAAAATGTGTGTGTGTTTATAGTGAATTGTCCCTTTTCACCCTGACATTTATGCATTTTTGTGCATGTATTTAATAGCAAAAAGAAGTTGGCAGAGTTTCACAGTCTTTTGGCCTCCAAACCACATCTGCAGACAGAAGTGATGATTATGCTGGTAATATGTTCTTAAAATGAATTCTTAAAAATATTTTTGTTGCAGATTGGTAGTCTTTGATCAGTCGTAAGAGAGAAAGTGTTTTCTGTTTTGTGCATGGTGGTTTGCTGTGTGGATTCCTGGTGGACTTGGTGAGAGCTTAGTGCTCTCGCAGTGAGACCATTAACCTGGGTGTAACTGGCACAACCTTGCTGGGCCTCTGGGTCCTTGGTTTACATAATGGGAGCAAATAGGACAGCCCTGTCTTCCTGATCCCTGTTGCAAATGAAAGAGTCAATCCTTTTTAGGCTCTCTATGTGCATAAATGTGTATTAATGGGAAAATCATTTAGAAAATGTCTTTTTTCCAGAATTTCTCACAGGTCTATTAAGAATAAGGTGATTGTTTTTGGTATGTTCCATTTTCTTTCTCCTTTTCTTTCCTTTAGCTGCAGAACGAGATGACCCAGTTTTTGAGATGCTATATGAGAGAAATCCGGTGCACAGCCATTTTGAGAGGCGGCTGAATGTCAGCACGAGGCCCTTGAACATCATCTATAATCCCCAGGCGATTAAAAAAGTAGCAGACTTTTTCTACAAGGGAAAGGTTCATACCTCAGGTTAACTTTTTTGTTTGTTTGATCTTATGTTAGTTTTTAAAAACATCTCTCTTGTCATTTCTGGTGCTCTGGATAAGGGTTATTATACATTCAAATGGCCTGATTGTGGTGGAAAAGGCCTGTAGAGTAAGTGGATAGGGTTGTCCTTAGTTATTAAATCTGGGTAGCTGGACAGTATCTTTTCCAAGAGAAATCAGTATCCTTAGATATTTTCTTTTTGTCTCCCTTCAGCAGGCATTTTTTCATACTTTCCATTCCATTAGAATGGTGGTTTCCTTGGTTGCTCAGAATATTTTAGACCAGTGAACTGAAGAGGAATGTTCAAGAATTTCTTTTTAAATCTCTTTTACTTACTTGATGCAGGATTAAATACTGCAAAGTTCTAAATATCATCCTTTATTTATAATGCTTCCCTTTGTTCCCCAAAACGGTTTCAGACTGTAGGTGCAGAAAAGCACTTTTATTGACAGGGAGATTGATAAAACAATTGTATTTTCCTGACTGTTTCCCTCCCTCCTTTTTAATGTTGAAGCTGTTTTAGTTTTTGGTACAGTTTTGAGTCTTTTATTGATAAAACAATTGTATTTTCCTGACTGTTTCCCTCCCTCCTTTTTAATGTTGAAGCTGTTTTAGTTTTTGGTCCAGTTTTGAGTCTTTTCCTATAAATAGTAGCCATAAATGTTGTGGTTTCATTGCTTGTATTTTCCTGACTGTTTCCCTCCCTCCTTTTTAATGTTGAAGCTGTTTTAGTTTTTGGTACAGTTTTGAGTCTTTTCCTATAAATAGTAGCCATAAATGTTGTGGTTTCATTGTTTTGTCACTGATAGAATATAGAAGACTTTTCCTTCCAAGTTTTATTTTCTCCTTCATTGTAATGTCCTGCTTTGTAAGGATTTTGAAATATAATAGTTTGTAATCTTTCAGAAGATGGGTCGAGAAATTCTAGTAACTTAGGTACCCTCACATACCTCCTTTGTCCTCTGGATGTCCACCACTCATCTTTGCTTATTCCTGTTACCCTTTATTTTGCCAGGTCATGCTGAAGTAAGGAACGGTTGTTGTTACTGATTGTTGTGAGAAGAGACCTTGCAGCACTTCGTCCCCCCAGCCATTTGAAAATTCTGACTTTCCTTTGTATTTCTAATCTTACAGGTTTTGGTTATCAGTCTGAACTTGAGCTGAGAGTGGCTGAAGCTGCCCGAAGACAATACAACAGATTGAAGATGCAGACCAAGGCAGAAATCCGACAAACTCTGGATCGTTTGCTAGTGGGTGATTTCATTGTAAGTTGCGAACATAAGCAATATCTGGGGTTAGGGAAGGGGCAAGCATTCTTTCTGTCAAGTTCGTTACCTACTGTAGGTAGGCTTGCTTGTATCAATTATATTGACTAGGTAAACTGAAAATATGAAGTTCTTATCAGCTAGCATAAAATAAAATCTCATGTCTTTCACATTCAAGGTTTAATTAGGAAAATTAATGAGCATGACTACGTCCTATTTCTTCTTTGTGGCAGTCTGGAAATACTTTCAAGACTCATCTTCGTTCCATTTTTCAGACCTGATATTTTGTGAATGTTTCACTTAAGAGCTTCCCCTTTTTACTTACTGTTTTTTTTTTTTTTTCCTTTTTGTCTTTTTTCGTGTCCGGCAACGGATCGCAACCCTCAGTGTCGCGCCCGTACCGGACCGGGACCGGCAATGGGATCGCAACCCTCGGTGTTGTGCCCGCACCTCGCTCAGCCAGTGAGCGGGAACCGGTCTGTATGTGGGATCCGAGCCCTCAGCGGGTGCCGCCGCGCTCCCAAGCGGCGCACTGTAGCAGTGCGCCACCGGGCCGGATCTTTACTTACTGTTATCAGAAGAAAAACAACTGGAATGGTGCCCCAACTTCCATTCCAGGTTATGATGGTCACTGTGTGACACTTAAGTGACCAGCTGAAGTGAGGACTCCACAGTCAGGGAGAGCCAAGAAACATAACAGTCCAGTAAAACACGGTTTCTAACAATGTGGCATGGAGGTGCACTGCTAAGATACAGCAGCAGATGGAGCAGTTAAAAAGGAGTGTGGCTTCTTTTGGACAATGCAGAATGAGTTGTAGGTGTAAGGGATGGCAGAAATATTTAAAGTAAAATGCTTAGGGATATGTAGTACGGGATGGAGAGTTAGTCCTGTTTTTTGTTTTGTTTTGTGTGTGTGCGCGTGTGTTTCGACACATAATAATAATTAGTTTCCTCTTGTTATCTCAGACAAAAGAAGTTTCTTTTTGATAACGTTTATGTAAATTAGCTTTTCCATATACATACAATTGAGGCTAATCTTAGGAAGGGAAGAAAAATGGACACATTTGTGAATTGGTGTGGTATTTATATTTCAAATGTCAAAGCTTGTGTTTTCCTCTAAGATATTTTGGCAGGAAAGTTCATAGTTACCAATGTCCATGAATAAGTAAAAATATTTGGATTTCTACATTTATTTGTATTCTGTAATTTCTACAGTATTTTAAAGTATTAAGCCCTGTACTAGAAACAAAATCTTTCTTAAACTATGGATCATCATAATCAAAGTACAAACAACCCACCAAATCAGTAGTTTGCTAATTTTTTCTCTCCACTTCAGACATTTACCTATGGTGATGTCTAAAATCCTCAAGCATTTGAATCTACTTTCATCTTAAACTTTTTGCTGTAATACCATAAAGCACTAAGTCACTCCATAACCCTTGCTGTGGCTTTCAGAAATGCTTGAGCACCACTGATAAAACTTCAGTTTCAGCAGTTACAGTTAATTATGATTAATTGAAGTTTATTTTATTTTTATAGGAGGAGAGTAAACGGTGGACTGTGCGACTAGATATTTCTGCTCCTCAGGTGATATTTCCTGATGATTTCAAATTCAAGAATCCTGTGTTAGTTGTTGTGGATCTAGGAAGAATGCTGTTGACGAATACCCAAGGTACAGTGTGAATTTGAAGTGATGAAAACATTTTGGTAGATCGATCTGTGTTTAACTACGTAGGTTTATATAACATTGTTTAACTCCAAAATTCACTTGTAACTTTTTAAATAATAGCTTTATTGAGATATAATTTGCATTTAAAAATTTTATTTATTTATTTATTTTGGCATCTGGCTGGTATGGGAATCCGAACCCTTGACCTTGGTGTTACAATACCATATTCTAACTAACTGAGCTAACTAGTCAGCCCTGTAATTTATATTTTAAAATGTACAGTTCAGCTGTTTTTTGTATTTTGATAGAATTATGCAATTCTCAATACTGTTTAATTCCAGAACATTTTCATCCCCCAAAAAGAAATTCCAAACTCACTGGCACCCCCTCTCCCAGCCCCTGGCAATCACTAATCTTTCTGTCTGTATGGATTTGCTTATTCTGAACCTTTCATATGAACAGAATAATACAATATGTGGCCTTTTATGTCTGGCTTTTGCATTTAGCATAATATTTTCAGAGTTCATCCATTTTGTGGTATATATCAGTCCTTCATTCCTTTTTATGGCCAAATAGTAATCCATTGTATGGATTTACCATATTTTGTTTATCCATTCATTTATTGGTGGATGTTTGGGTTGTTTTCACTTTTTGACTATTATGAATAATGCTGTGAACATTCATATGCAGGTTTTTGTGTAGACATATTTTTGGTTCTCTTGGGTATCTTCTAGAAGTGGAGTTGCTGGGTCATGTGGCAACTTTATATTTAATATTTTGAGGAGCTACCAAACTGTTTTCCAAAATTGCTGCACCGTTTTATATTCCCACCAAGAGTGTGTAAGGGTTCGAGTTTCTCCACATCCTTGTTTCACTTGTTATTGTCTTTTTTATTATAGCCGTTTTTTTGTGGGTATGACGAAGTATCTCATTGTTTTTTATTGCTTTTTTCTTTTTGGGGGCAGCTGGTTGGTATGGAGATTTGAACCCTTGACCTTGTTCTTACCAACACTGTGCTCTAATCAACTGAGTTGACTAGCCAGCCCCTCATTGTGGTTTTTATTTGTATTTCTTATGTAACATTGTGTATTTTAACAGACATTATTTCGAAGTACTTAATTTTAGGAATAGAGATTTAAACTATTTGTTATTTAGGGGCATATATAAAAAGAGACACCTGGAAGGTAATTTCATTTACATTTATTATATCCAGAAAGTATTCAGTGAAATGGGATGGAAGAATGAGAAGATTCATAGGGTAAAAGAAATTGAGGAAATTTATCAAATAATCTCAAACTTATCTTCACTGAGAAGACCCAACAGAGAAAGAGAGTAGAGGATTTGAGTAGGAGTGGAAAAGTTTGGTGCTAAGAGGAATGTTAAAAGGGAATTAGATCTAAATAAAAGGATCATAGAACCACAGAAGGCACCTACTTGAGTTTATAGAACATAAATGTGGACAGCAGAGACATAGGTGACAGAACCCAGAAGTTGTCTCAGCACTGCTCAGCTGTAGAGAGAGGGATTCAATGTATGGGCTCTGGGGCTAGAAAGTCACAGATTGAGCAGTTACTGCTTAACAGACACTGATCTTGGCCTAGTGGTATTGAGTTGAACAAGACAGGTGAGACCTCTCTTCTACTGGAATGTTCTAGTGGGGGAAACAAAACACAAAGACAAAGGAAGAAACAAATAAGAAATTATAGAGAGTGACATAAGAAGGGTACGTGGCAAGGCAACACTGCAGGTGGGAAGGAGCTTTGGGCAGCAGGTAGTCGTTTTTGCACCCTGGCACATGCTTATATGTCTGCAGGTCTCCAACTCTTCTCATGTTCATATGTTTTTCCTCTTTGTGTTTTGATTTCCAAGTTAATAGGTAAGTTCACACTGGATTAAATGGTAAATAAAGAATATTATGCTTAGAATTTTCATCCATTTTTTTAAAAATTGGGATTAATTGGTTCTCTGCTTTTTATACTTATTACATTAAGGGAAAGAGGAACACAAAAGCAGCCACTTACTTTATATCTTCTCTTTTTTATCTGCAGATGGCTTCAAGAGGAAAAGTGGGGATGGGTCAGCCTCTGAAGAGAATCAGTTTAGTGATGATGAATATAAGACCCCTCTTGCCACACCTCCTAATACCCCACCTCTGGAGACAAGCAGCAGTAATGGAGAGAAATCACCTCCATTTTCTGGAGTTGAATTCAGTGAAGAACAGCTTCAAGCACATTTAATGAGCACAAAGATGTATGAAAGGTACTCCCTGTCATTTATGGACCTCCAGATTATGGTTGGACGAGTGAAAGACAATTGGAAGCATGTCCAGGATATTGATGTAGGACCAACCCATGTGGTAGAGAAATTCAATGTTCATCTACAGTTAGAACGTCGATTGATTTATACTTCAGATCCCAAATACCCAGGAGCTGTGCTCTCAGGCAACTTACCAGACTTAAAAATCCACATCAATGAAGATAAAATATCTGCCCTAAAGAATTGCTTTGCTCTCCTCACTACCCCAGAAATGAAGACTTCTGACACTCAGATTAAAGAGAAGATTTTTTCCCAAGAGGAACAGCGGGGAAGTTTGCAAGACTCAGTAATGAATTTAACCCAGAGCATCGTGATGTTGGAACAGCATACCCGGGAAGTTCTGGTGGAGTCGCAGCTCCTCCTGGCTGAATTTAAAGTTAACTGTATGCAGCTTGGTGTTGAGAGCAATGGCCGGTATATTTCTGTGCTCAAGGTATTTGGTACCAACGCTCACTTTGTGAAGAGGCCTTATGATGCTGAAGTTTCCCTAACTGTTCATGGTTTGCTTCTGGTAGACACCATGCAGACGTATGGTGCTGATTTTGACCTTTTGATGGCTTCACATAAGAACTTGAGTTTTGATATTCCAACAGGAAGCCTCCGGGACAGCAGGGCCCAGTCTCCTGTCTCTGGACCCAATGTAGCCCACATAACTAGTGCAGTCACCCTGAATGACCAATCAGCTACTAGTGTTTCATTTGATAGAATTCTCACCAAAGAACAAGAGTCCCTCATTAAATTGGAATACCAATTTGTGAGTTCAGAGTGCCCATCAATGAATTTAGACAGCACTCTTCAGGTGATTTCATTACAGGTAAATAATTTGGATATTATTCTAAATCCAGAGACAATTGTGGAGCTGATTGGTTTTCTTCAAAAATCCTTCCCCAAGGAAAAAGATGATTTGAGTCCTCAACCTTTAATGACTGATTTTGAAAGAAACTTCATAGAACAAGGAACTTATCAGTCCACATATGAACAAAACACTGAGGTTGCAGTGGAAATCCATAGACTTAACTTATTGCTCCTTCGGACAGTGGGAATGGCAAATGGAGAGAAATATGGCAGAAAAATTGCAACTGCAAGTATAGGTGGCACCAAAGTGAATGTCTCAATGGGTAGCACGTTTGACATGAATGGTTCTCTTGGCTGTTTGCAGCTTATGGATTTGACACAAGATAATGTTAAAAACCAATATGTTGTCAGCATTGGGAATTCCACAGGCTATGAAAATGTCATCAGTGATATTGGCTACTTTGAATCTATATTTGTCAGAATGGAAGATGCAGCCCTCACTGAAGCTTTGAGTTTCACTTTTGTTGAGAAGTCTAAACAGGAGTGTTTTCTCAACCTAAAGATGGCTTCCTTGCATTATAACCACTCTGCTAAATTTTTGAAGGAGTTGACATTATCCATGGATGAACTGGAAGAAAATTTTCGGAGTATGCTGAAAAGTGCGGCCACCAAAGTCACCACAGTACTAGCTACCAAGACTGCTGAGTACAGTGAGATGGTATCACTCTTTGAAACTCCAAGGAAGACACGGGAACCTTTTATCTTAGAGGAAAATGACATATGTGGGTTTGACCTAGCTTCCTCTCATTCAGACACTGTAAAGCTAATCTTGAATGTAAACATTGAATCACCAGTTGTTTCTATCCCTCGGAAGCCTGGGAGCCCTGAACTGTTGGTAGGACACTTGGGACAGATATTCATCCAAAATTTTGTGGCAGGGGATGATGAATCCAGAAGTGACCGTCTGCAGGTGGAAATCAAAGACATTAAACTATATTCTTTGAATTGCACCCAGTTGGCAGGCAGAGAAAGTACTGGATCTGAAGTAAGCCGGGCATTTTGCCCACCCTCTGGGTCTGCCAGTGCCAATAGTCAGGAGGAAGCTCATTTTACCCGACATGATTTCTTTGAATCTTTGCATAGAGGTCAAGGTGAGGAACGTAAATCTTTTGTTTCATTTTATTTAAACATTCAAAACCCAGTTCATGTAGTACATTGCTTAAAACAGCAATAACAAAAACCTTTTCTTTTAGAATTATCCTTGGTTAATATTTAAGAGATCAAAATAGAATTTTAATAGAATGCTTTGTAGTGTGTTGATTTATTTTCACTGTTTTCCATTTAATACCATATTTGGCAAAATAACTTTTTTTTAAGTGTTTGCCTTTGAAATTGGGTGTGTACTCATTTACAGAAATGTGTCAGTGGATGGATTCTGTTAGAGGATTGTTGAATTTAGCCATATATATTTGATATTTTGTTCCTGAGCTGTAGGTCTTTCCTAGTTAAGTATTGTAGCCCAAGATAGTTCAAGGGGTTGATGTAAATAGAATATGAAATTTAGTCTGTGGATATTATGTTCTCCTTCTAATATACTGCCATCTTCCTTTATAATGATTAGTCCAGGGTTTTAGGAATATTCTGGATCTGATCAGCCAAAACCAAATAGTTCAATCTATTAGTATTGGCATCCACAGAAATCAGGTAAGCCCAAGAGCATAGCTTTATTTATTGGTGAAGAAATTAATGCCTTTGAAAATTTCTTCTATGGTTCTCAGATGTTAATGCACTGATTTGTTTACATATTTATCACAAGATTGCTTTCTCTGCTTGGATAAAAGTTGTTTACTTAGAATTTTATATTGTCCTTGGTTTCAATTTAGGCCCAATAAGAAGGATATATCTATAACTCAAAGCTAAGTAAGCAATTTGATTTGGAAAAATGCCAGTTTGAGAGGCTACGACAAGCTTAATATACTTTTTGGACTGGATTAATGTTTACCACATTATATTTTGAAGCTACTAAATGGAGCATGTCATGAAAATTTCATTTCTTATTTTGTGTAAATTTATCTCGTACCTCTACTTGCTGTGAGTTTTGGTCTTGGGATAGTCATCACAAGATTGCTCTCAGTCATAGACCCCAAGTGCCAGGCTTACCTGCCTTTTTGGTCTAAGAGTAACTCAGGGGCTCTATTTTATATCTCTACACTGAATCAGCAACGACAGAGTAAATATTAGGATTTACAGTCTGTCATTTCCTCTCTCTTATGCCAGCTTTTCACATCCTGAACAACACTACCATTCAGTTTAAACTGGAGAAGATCCCTATAGAGAGAGAATCTGAATTGACTTTCTCTCTTAGTCCAGATGACCTGGAAACTTCTAGCATCATGAAGATCGAAGGAAAATTCGTCAATCCAGTTCAGGTAAACATCTGATTGATTTTCATGTCAGGGCAGTTGAAGTCATATAGTTATTTTATATTTATATTATATAAATATTATATATTATACTTATGTTATTATGTGTTATATTGTATATTTATGTACATTAAATGTTGGAAGGAAAAATATAGATTCAAAGAGATATCATTAATGCATATTTACAGTTGTTGATAACTTGTTCCAGGAAATACAGGATCCTTTTATCATGTCATTTTATCACTGGGGAATCAGTCTTATTAACGTTCTTCATGTGGAGGGTGGGTGAGTTGTGTGGAGAAAGAAGACAGAATCTTAATTCCATTGCCATTCAGAAATAGGGAAATGATGGCTTAAAAAGTCAGAGTCTCTCTTTCCCAAGGGGATATAATTCTTGTCAGACTTTTTTTTTTCTTTTTTTAAATTTTTATTGAATCAAAATTGATTATACATGTTTTTGGGGTTTAACATTGAGATATGTTGATCAAATCAATATTACTAGCATGTATATTGTTACAAATTGTAATTATTCTTTATGCTCCTTGTCCAATCTCTACCTCTCCCCCTCTAATTACCCTAGACTTCTTCTCTCCTTTTGAAAGAATAATGGTTACTCTGTTGATATGTTGCCTAGATGAACTGTCCAATGCTGAGAGGTGTGATCAGCTCCCCCAATATTATCATAGAGCAGATGCTTCTTCTGTCACTCTGAAATGGACTTTGTGGGGAGAGACATCCTCTTCTTTTCTTTATCTCTGCTTGTGTCTCTCTTGTGCTGTTGACTCTCCTTGTGTCAATGCACTCCAGTGGCTGGAGGACCATCTGCGTGGTGGTTGTGGTGTCTAGCTGCTTTCGCGGCAGCCATGGTTATTGTGGTGGCTGTGGTGGGCCACCCACATGGAGGTGATGTTTTTGGCATGCTCCTTGGTGCTGGTGGTGTGCCTTGTTGTGGGAGGTGGGGCTGGTCCCCTGCTCCATGCTTCGGGTCACTGGGTGGACCCTGAGGTGCTGACGCAGTGTGCCTGGTTGTGGGAGGGGGTTCCGGTCCTCTTCTCCATGGGTGGGGGTCCTGTCCTCGGCTCCATGCCTTATGTCCCTTGGTGGGCCCCAAGGCACTGGTGGTGTGCCTGGGCCAGAACTAATTTTTTGACCTTTGCTTACTTCTAACATGGAGAAACTTCCTGTGGGAACCAGTACTTGAGCTGTGTTGTTGAGCTAAATTGCTGCTTTGCTGATGTTTCCCTAGGGAAGGCTTTCTGAGCAGCTTAGGGTTTAACAGTTGACTTTATAGGTACTTCCTGCTCTCCAGAGACTCAGTGCACCTGGGTTGTGTAGAAACTCTGATCTGGGCCTGAGTTTTTCATCAAACTTCACCTCATGCAATTCTGCATTCCCAACCAATCTTCTCTGAGTGGGCCTGTGTTGATTGGGGGGCGGACTGGCTGTCCTTGCTGTGTCCCAGTGTTCTCCCGGTGGGCCTGTCTGCCCCACTGCCCGTGCTCCAAACACTTCCCATGGGATGGGCCCTGAGCCAGTCTCTTGCGATGACTCACCAGACTCTGAATGGCTCCCCTTTTTCAGCTGTTCTGTCTCCTCACTCCTGCGTGGGTCCATGGGAACCCTATTAGTGGTCTTGCTGTCCTCGGGGCCACCAAGGCCCTCTTCTCCCCTGCCGCCTTGAAGTAACTCCATCTGAAGGGCACAGCCACGGCTTCTGCAGGCTCCTGCTCCATGCGCTCAGCAGCTTGAACCTTAAAGCGGCCGTGGCCCGAAAAGCTCAGAGCAGTTTTTTCTTTCTCTCTTCGTGGTTTCTCCAGCCTTCATGAACTCTGTAGGGTCTCTCCTCCTCTTCCCCTGAGCTCCAGTGGCCCCAGCTTGGCTGATGTTACATTTTTATAGTTGTAAATTGGTTGATTTGTGGGAGAGAGTGATGCTGAGGACCGTCTGTTCTGCCATCTTGACCAGAACTCCCCTTGTCACACTTTTGACATACTTTGCCCATCCTATTATATGATCATCTGAACTGTTGACAGATGCTTTCAAGGGAGAATTAGTCTTGCCTTCTCTGAAATGAAATGGGCCAGGATAGAGATTTCACGCACACGTATGCATGTGTAGACATGTATACATCTGTTAACCTTTTTCCTTCAAAAGTGTTATTTTTCCTGATTTCACAGGGGGTAGAGCAAAGAGCATTACCTTATAAAACAACAAGGACAGGCAGGATCTTAGAATAGTGGACCGTAGTCTTGGGCAGGAATTGGTTACTAGTCTGTCTAGCAGCTGCTCTGGAGTCACCCTGGAGTGCTGTTAACAGTATATGTGTACCTTTTGACATCAGTGGTTCCTTGATATGGGTCTCTGGGTGAGAGAACTTCCCCAAAGCAATCTCCCAGGATGAATTTTTCACCTTAAACCCAGCACATGACATGAATTCTATTGGATTATGTTGACTTATTTTTATGGTTACTGTTGACTTACTGTTGTTTTAGTGAAAGTCTTAAAGATAATTTTAAAATAATTAGATAATTCTTTTTTAAAAAGATAATTCTTTAAGACAATTATTTAAATCATTCTTTAATAATTAATATCTTAAATATTTAATAATTTAATTACTAATATTTTACTATGAAAACATTTAAACATACACAAAAGTAGAATAGTCCAATGAGCCTTATGTATCCATGACTCAGATTCAACAGTTATCAGGATTTTCCCACATTTGTTTCATCCATCTTTTTTTGTATGTGTGAAATATTTTAAGGCAAATCCTAGATTTTATGCTATTTTCACTCCTATATATTTGGAATATTTCTCTGCAAACTATGTGCATCTTCTTACGTAACTGCAGTGGTATTATCATGCCTTACGAAACTAATGAGAATTCCTTGGTGTCTAAATTTTAGTCCATTTTCAGATTTTAGAAATATTTTTGATTGTCTAAAAAATGTCTTCACTTTTGGTTTGTTTGAATCAGGATCCAAACAAGATCCACATGTTGCATTTGGATAATACATATTTTAGGTCTCTATTAATGTAGTTTCCCTCTTTTTTTTGCCCCGTGCCTTATTTTGTTATGGAAACTACTAGGTTGCTTGCTCTGTAGAATGTCCCACATTCTGGATTTGGTTGTTTGTTTGGTTGTGTGCCACTTAACTTGTTCCCCCATATTTCCTGTAAAGTGTATAGGTTTAATTCTATAGGTTTCATTGGATTCAGGTTCTTTTTTAGTTTTAGTTTTTTTTTGTTTATTTATTTTTGGCTAGAACACTTCAAAGGCAGTGCTGTGTACTTCATATTGCATTATATCAGGAGGCAAATAATGTCTGTTTGTCTCTTAATGATGACAAGATCGATGATTGTATTTTGGTGGCAAAAGCTTGATCTCTCCATTATAAAATACCTTGTCAGTCATCATATAATGGTTTATCCCACTGATGGACTTTCATGGGATAAATTATTTAATTGGGGGGTTACAAAATAGTCACTTTCTATTATTATTTCTACAACTGTTGGTTAGAATATCTCTTTAAAAAATTGCCCTTAATTAAATAAGAATCTTGCCTGAGAGTATTTTTTAATAAGAAACTAATTAAAAATCAAGTAAGGGAGAATGGAAACATAGCTAATCATGGATCATCATCATCATTATCTAAAAAGTACTAACTGTACTGAAAATAGGTTGTTACACTAATTGGTGATGATCAGCCAGTTTTAAAACCATGAGTCTTATTTCTCAGTCTCTATGGTATGCCCACTTTAGACTTTTGGCAGTATTCTCTTCAATTTCTACAGTTATTTTTGTGGAGTTAGAGAGACTACCTTTGCTGATTCAGGCGTACAGTCAATAGCATTTATTGTATGTAGATTATTCTGTGAGATACTCAGAGAGGACCTTGTGAATAGAAGTGGGGCAGAAGGAGATAAGGACAGAAAAGAAATGACAGAGATAGTCCTTGTTGTCAACCAACTTATAACCTCATGGGGAAACCCATAAATATCAACTGGAAATTTATAGGCAGTTCATCTGAGTGCAGTTAACAGTGGTTGTGGAATAACTGAATTTTTCTCTTTGTATACAGGTGGTGTTAGCAAAACATGTGTATGAGCAGGTTTTACAGACACTGGACAATCTTGTGTGTAGTGAAGATCTGAACAAGTTTCCAGCCAGCACTACCTCCTCCCCTTGCCCTAATTCTCCTCTGCCCTCCCTCAGTGGCTGTGGAGAGCCTTCTGTTGAAAGGAAGGAGAATGGACTGTTCAGCCACTCCAGCCTTTCTAACGCTTCTCAAAAGTCCCTGCCTTTGAAGGAAACCAAATCCTTTACTCAAATTCAAGCCAACTTTTGTATATCAGAGCTTCAAGTTCAGCTAAGTGGAGATTTGACTTTGGGGGCCCAGGGTCTTGTGAGCTTAAAGTTTCAGGATTTTGAAGTGGAATTCAGTAAGGACCATCCTCAGACTTTATCTGTTCAGATTGCCCTGCGCTCTCTGCTGATGGAAGACTTATTGGAGAAAAATCCAGATTCCAAATATAAGAACCTGATGGTGTCTCGAGGAGCTCCTAAGCCATCTAGTTTAGCCCCAAAAGAGTATCTTTCTCAGTCTTGCCCTTCAGTATCCAATGTGGAATATCCCGATATGCCTCGGTCTCTCCCTTCCCACATGGAAGAAGCTCCTAATGTCTTTCAGTTATATCAGAGACCCACCACCTCTGCATCCCGGAAAAAGCAAAAGGAAGTCCAAGACAAGGACTATCCTTTGACCCCACCTCCTTCTCCATCAGTAGATGAGCCCAAGATACATGCTGGAAAGAGTAAATTTGATGATTCTTTGGTCCACATCAATATATTCTTGGTGGATAAGAAACATCCAGAATTCTCTTCGAGTTACAATCGAGTTAATCGGAGCATAGATGTTGATTTTAACTGCTTGGATGTGTTGATTACACTGCAAACCTGGGTCGTGATATTAGATTTTTTTGGAATTGGTTCCACTGCAGACAACCATGCAATGAAAGTGCTGCCTGAGGACATTCTACAGAACGTGAAGTCAGAATCACATGCTTTAATGGAGTCTGAACTTCAGGATCCAGTTAACACCAAGCTGGATCTCAAGGTATCTCTTCCCTTTGACTCCTTTAAGTTCTAAAAATGAATTTGGGTTTGTTTATTTAAGTGTGAGCATTTTACATTTACTCTGGAAAATTGCTTTTGTTGGCCAGGGGAGCTATATAGTCTTATGAATGTCTGTTACAAAAGGGTAGATGTTAATATTTTAGAAAAGGTTTTACTGTAAATACCATCTGGAGGCAGGGAAAATAAGTGGTTTTAGAACTTGTCCTTCCTTTGAGCTGTTTAATTCAATGGAATTATTTCACTTCTCTGAGCCTCAGTTTCCTCATCTTCTATCATCTAATTAAGATAACTAAGTGAGGTCATGTATGTAAAGCACCTAGCAAAAAGGGTCTAGTATATAGTAGCAACTTTAAAGTGTGGCTTTTATTATTGTCTCCCCATTCTCCCAGAACATTATGTGCTTTCAATGAGGGCAATAGTATAGCTGTTAAGAATGAAGTCTCAAAAGTTAGACTGCCTAGGTTTGAATCTTGGCACTTTCCCTGTAACCATATGTATAGCTATATGGCCTTGGGCAAATTATTTAACCTTCTCTCCCCCTCAATTTTTTCATCGGTAAACTAGGGATGTTCAACGGTGCCTACAGCATAGGGTCATTGTGAGGATTCAATGAGAACATACATAAGGCCCTTTGCATAGTGCTTGGCACCCAACAAGCATTCAGGGAATGGTAGCTATTATTTTTACTATTACGGGTTACCATACTTATAACTTGTCCCTGTTGCTCATCTTGTAAATATTTTTAAAAGAAACAAAAAAACCCCCAGCATTTGAGCGTAAGTCTCTGTGTGATAGAACAGTAAGATGTGAAAGCAGTTAAATTGAGCTGACCAGTTTGGGGTACATAGGCCTATTGTAACTAGCACTAATCCAGAGCCCTGGAATGCCTGCAGTGGCTGATTACATTTGTGTGCCTTGAGGATGAAGTTCTTCATTTATGTGTCTTTGCATGTGTGGACTTGCACTTACTGCTGGGAGGAAGTCAGAGAGGAGAATCATGTTTTATCCAGTTGGCCATTTTCTGCCTCGTATTTCCCTAACTGGCGAATTTCCTTAGGCTTCATTCCTCTAGAAGTGGAAGAGATCTCAGGGGAGAGATGGGGAAGAAACAGTTTTACCTTTCTTGCTCAGTGTGAGTGGTTCAAGAAACTTCATGCCTTTCCTTTGGTCTCTGTAATTCAGTGGAATACTATGCTTTTCTAAGCAAAAGTATCCTCATGTACAAAATGAGAATTAAGTAAGATGATGTGTGAATTTTTTTATCAGCACCGCACTCTCCCGAGTGAGCCACGGGCCGGCCCATGTGTGAATTTTTTAAAATCAGGATCCAAATAAGGTTCTCATGTTACATTTGCTATCATGTCTCTTAAATCTCTTTTAATTAGAGTAAACCAATCCCCTTCTCCTTTTTCCCCCATAGCGGTGCTGACATTCATGCTAATAGTGGGTTCAGGTGGTGTTAGTTGGATTTCTCCAAACAAAGCATTTTCAATCCAGTATATATGTTCTTTTGGTGATTAAATCACTAGAGGTTTTTTTTAAAATTTCTGTCTTCATCTTGTTGCCTTGCGATCCTTCTGTGGTCTATGTCAGAGGTCAAACTGCAAAGGAACTGGAGTGGCCCCATGGTCGCTGGTCCAACTGTAATAGTCCTCTCCTTTTTTCTCTGCCTTCTTCTATAAATGTTTTTCTTCCTTACTTTCCTTCTATTAGTTTCCTTCTTTTCTTTTCCTGTCTTTTTTCCTGCCAGTCATTCATTCACCAGACATGTACTGAGTACCTGCTTTGTCTAGGCACTGAAGATAAAGGGGTGAGTTAGGCATGGTCTCTGCCATTTGGAAGCAGTAAATGTGAGTTGATGATTGAATCTGCTCTCTGTCTTCTGCTCTCTGTTTCTTCCTCTCTCCTCCCTTCTCTTCAATCAATGCTTTGTACCCAGTGATGGTACTCAAGAGCAAAAAAGGCCGAGCCCTAACTCAACAAATCCTAGACATATAAGTTCTTTTAGTAGTTAGAATTACAATACTATATTACAGAATTTATTTGTTACAAAGAATGCTACTCCCAAGACAGAGGATCTTGTTTTTCTTCTATTTATTGCTGTCCCTAGGAAAGAAAATCTTTGATTGTTGTTCCTACGTGAAGTCCCAGTTGATCAACAGGGGCTTCTATTAAATATTCGTTCAAAGGCATTAAACAGGATTCTAAATCAGATTCATCATTTTGTTTTGACAAATTTCTTAAGATGAGACTTAATGAATCTGAGTTGTTATAGAACTGTGCAATGTTAATGATGAATTCCTAAATGAGAAAAATTATTTTGTAATGTAAAACATTTCACTAACAGAATATACAAGGCAAGCACAGAGAAGACATCATAGAAACTGGAACTTAGACTCCCAATTGAGTTCCTTTTTATCAGCCTCATTGTCAGATCATGGTTTGACTGGCTTAAGAAAGCTGAAGTGAAATTGGCATCATTAAAAGCTTTACCTTCAAATTTCTCCAGTCTTTTTGCATCTTCCTTGATTTTGTTCTGCTGTTTTCCTGAAAGATACCTTTCTTGCCCCAGTAATATTTGCCTTGCTTTATCCTCTGCATCTAGGTTCATTCACTCTCTCTCGTGCTGAATAAGACTACCAGTGAGCTTGCCAAAGCAAATGTGTCCAAATTAGTAGTGCACCTGGAAATGATTGGTAAGTGTAAAAAAATCAAACTCGCAAAATCTGGTAAGCATTTCAACATCCCAATCACAAATCTAATTGTCCTCACATGCGGCGGGAGCGCCAACACGCTCCCAAGCGGCGCACTGTAGCAGTGCGCCACCGGGCCGGCCCCCAAATTGGGATATTTTTGAAAGTGAATTTTTAATTATTAATAATTAAACCTGGAAAACTGGCATATAACAGGGCTGTCTCTGGGAAACCAGGGGATATGTTCACTCTATCTATAATAATAAATAGGGGGAGTTACCAATGAAGGGCATGGTTTTTATGCAGGAGGATATTGTAGCAAAACTGGCATTCTTTTTTTTTTTATTTATTTAAAAAATATTATTATTATTATTATTTACATTCTAAGATATTGTTGCAGAGCAGTTGAGGGAAGGGGAGAGTGGGAGGGGGAGAGCAGGAGGAGGAAGGAGGGAGAGTATGGTTGAGGCCCAGGGCAACTCTCTCGTTCCAAAAGGGAGACCAGGGGGCCTCTGGCTGTGGCTCGGTCATTGCTGGGCTAGTGCTGGAAGTTGGGGGTGTGTGGCTGAGGCCCTCAGCTCCCCATTGCCCTGGCTTGGGAGCCTGGAGTACTTCTGGTGGTGGTGGCTCGGTGGTTGTTGCTGGGCTGGATGTGGTCATTAGCGTGGTGTGGCTGAGGCCCATGGCCCTCCCCCATCCGTAGCTTGGGAGCCCAGGAGGCTTCGAGTCCTTCTAGGTTTTATAGGTGTTCTTTGGTGGTGTTAGACCTTTACTGGTTGATATCAAAACTTTGTCTCTGATCTGTGGGTATTTTGTTTTTCTTTCAGTTCTATGTTGGATTTTTCGCTGTTCCCACCATTTAAACTCTGTAGTAGAACTAATTTGTTGTCCTTTGGTTACTTCTAAAATAGAGGAACTTCCTAAGGGAATCAGCACTTGAGCCCTGTGGTTGAGATAAATTGCTGCTTTGCTGCTGATTCTCTGGGGAAGGCTTTTTGTGCAGCTCAGGTTTTAACTGTTGACCTTGTAAGAACTTCCGGGTCTTGTGAGGTCTGGTACACCTGGGTTGTGTGGAAACTCTGGTCTGGGCCTGAGTTGTTTCAGTAAACTGCACCCGCTGCAGTTCTATACTCCTGTTCAGTTTACACTGAGTGGTCCTGTGCTGATTGGAGGGCAGATCAGCTGTCCATGCTGTGCCCTAGTGTTCTCCCCTGGTGGCCCTGTCTCCCCCACCGCCTGCACACCAAACACTTCCCATGGGATGGGCCGTGCGCTGGTCCCTTCAGTGACTCACTGGCCTGAGTGGCTTCTTTGTTCAGTTGTCTGTGGCCCCTCACTCCTATGTGGGTCCATGGTGGCCTGGGGGCCACCAAGGCCCTCTTCTCCCCTGCAGCCTCCAAGCAACATCATATGAAGGGCACAGCTGTGGCTTTTGCCAGCTCTTGCTCTGAGTGCTCACCAGGGTTGGCCTTGAAGTAGCTGGGGCTTGGAATCGTCAGAGAGGTCCTTTGTTTCTCTCATTGTGGCTTCTCCCGCCTTCATGAACTCTGTAGGTTTTTCCTCCTCTTCCCCTGACCTCTAGCAGCCCAAGCTTGGCTATTGTTGCTTTTTAATAGTGGTATATTGGTTGATTGTGGGAGAGAGTGATGCTGGGGACCTTCTGTTCTCTCATCTTGACCAGAAGTCAATCTGTTTATCCACACCTCCCAGGCTCTCCCTGTCTGCAGACACCCCCATCCCATCCATGGACTCTACCATACTGTTGCTGGAACTTCTGGAAGCAGCTTTTGCATGCTTGGAAGTGCACACTTAGGCCCACAGCTTGCACTAGAAGGTCAAACCCCACTCGCCTGACACTCGCTGGTGTTTCTGCTCCACCAAGTGCTGGGACTCCTGTCCTGCTCCTCACCCGTCCTGAGGCCCGTGGGGCTCCTTTTTCACCCTTGCACCCACCTTCAGGCAGGCAGAACCCAATCCCACAACCTAAGGAGCAGTGCGCAGATGCCACCACAGCCTAGCATTCTTTTTTTTTTTTCCTTTTTGTCTTTTTTTACTGACTGGTAACGGGATCGCAACCCTCGGTGTCGCACCCGCACCG